CATTTGTGAGTTATTTTTATGGAGAATGGTTGCATGTGTTATAACTTAAAATCTTTGAGAAATATCTCTCACACTGTGAAAGGTGTATTGCAGAGATGACTGCAGCTCTCAGGTAGGAAATTGAAGAAGCACATTTCACATTTTCATCTGTGAAGTGATCTTCTAATTAAAAAGGATCTGATCATGAGGGTTTTGTACTTTGTGGATCTTAGATGACTTGTTCTTTTCATCAGAGTTATTTCAGTTATCTAGGCAAAAGAGGCTGAGATTCCAAACTGCTGGAATGAGGATTGGAGAGACGAAGAGAAATTTTGGAAGAGAAAGGGATTGGATTTAGTAAGCATATGAGAGTTGGGGGAAGGAGTAGAATGGAACATAAAATTGAGATGGGGGACACAGGAGGAAGAACAGATTTAAAGGAAGAGGATAATGAATCAAGTTTACTTTGTTGAAGACCTGTGGGAAATTCTCATGAAACTGTCTAGCAGATGGTTTGAAAGACCAGTCTTGTGTTCTGGAAGTCATTGGTATTTAGATATTTTAAACCCTGATTGTTGATAGTTGAGATGATTGAAGGAAGAGTGTGTAGAATGAAAGCAGATGCTTAAACATGGAATCTTGGAGCACTAACATGTAAGGAGATAAGAAAGCAATCCCTGAAGTTGACTGAAAAGTTGCGTTGGAGAGTTGTATCCAGCATTCCAAGGATGAAGATGATGTGAGTGGGTCAGTAGTGTCACGTGCCAAAGGAAGTTGGAGGAAGAAGAAACATTTAAATTTGTAGTACTAGGGACTTTGACAAGAATGGGTTGTGGTGGAGAGCCCTCTGGTGGAAGGGAGCATGGCATTTGAGGAACTGGAAGGACGGAGCTGAAGCTCAGAAAAGAATGTGAGTGAGACTGCCAGAAAGGCTTTTTCATCCTTTGAACACAATGTGATCACTGTCTTATTGGAAAGAAATTAATCAGGGGTTAGTTTTAGTCTCTCAGTGTATGAAGGTTATATGTAAATTTTTCTTTTCTTCTGCCCTGTGAAAGGTAGAAAAGAGCTTTTGAGGAGCTAAAACTTGTGGAGAATGACATTGTGTTCAGCAGTGGGAAGTAAAGGGAGTTAGGAAAATTTTCTCTGAAGCAGAAGTACCAAAGCTGACAGTAAAGAGAAGCTGCAGGGCCTTTTGACACCTAGCTCAATGGAAGTTCCAAAGACATGGACCGGCCCCAGAAGGATAAGTTAAAGGAACCCTACCTATCAGCAAGTTGCTAACGAAGAAATATCATTGTAAAATGTATTATTGTACTTATTTATTTATTTATTTTTTTGCAGTACGCGGGCCTCTCACTGTTGTGGCCTCTCCCGTTGCGGAGCACAGGCTCCGGATGCGCAGGCGCAGTGGCCATGGCTCACGGGCCCAGCCGCTCCGCGGCATGTGGGATCTTCCTGGACCGGGGCACGAACCCGTGTCCCCTGCATCGGCAGGCGGACTCTCAACCACTGCGCCAACAGGGAAGCCCCATATTTAATTTTTATAGTGCCTTTTCTGGAAAAACTGCTTGCTTTATTACTTTGTTTTCTTATGAAAACTGAGATTAAGTTTACAGGGAAGAAGTTACTTGTTTGTTTCCTCCTCTCACAAAAGACTAGACAGGAGGATATTCTTTATTACCTTCTCTCCCTTTCTTTTATTAAATTAATAATTACACATAGAGAAAATTGTAAAACAACATATATTAACAGTTAACACTGATTACCCCAGAGTGGACTTGGCCAGGGGAGGCTGAAATTAACTTCTTTTCGCACTTCTGTTTTGTTTAACTTAATTACAGTGCCTATAAAGCAGCCAATAAAGTGTGTAGTGTTTATAGGGAAAGGCTAAAATAAAATAAGTTAATAAATATTTGTAGACAGATTAAGAAAATGATATAGAGGTGTACAATGGAGGGAGAGTCTGCCACTCTAAATTCGTATTGTGTATCTTTGGCTATATATGAGCTTTTGTTACTGTACAAAACAACGTAGATTATGTAAAAATATATGTATTCATTAAACTATATACTTTTCCATTTATATCATGGGGATCTTTCCATATTGATACATATCCATTTGTTTTTATTTTTACACCTCATAGAATTTTTAAAACTTTTTTGGGAAAACTTCATTGAAATACAACATAGAGAAAAGTGTCCAGTTTAATGGCTTTTACAAAGTGAAGACACACATGTAACCACCATCCAGATCAAGATCAAGAACAGTGCTGGTCACTTCATGGGCCTTTCTCATCCTACCTCCAGTAATTAACCTCCTCCCTCTATTCTGCAGATTGTCACTATTCTGATTGTCATCCATATACATATATCTAATTGTGTCTGTTTTTAAACTTTATGTAAATTGAATCATACAGTATTGTGCATGGCTTTTTTACCTGTATGTGTGACTATTTTTGGCCAACATTATTTTTGTGAGATTTATCCATGTGACTTCATATAGCAGTAGTTTACCCTTTTTGTTGTAGTAGTCTATAGTAGAATACATAAATACCACAATTTATGCATTTTCCTGTTGATGGGTATTTGAGTTGTTTCAAACTGGGGACTATGATTAGACAATCAATGCTCATATAAGCCTTCCAGTATGAGTTTTTTGAACATATTCTTTTGAGTATGTACACATTTCTGTGGGCTGTATACCAAGAAAAGAAATTGCTAGGTCATATGGTATGTGTATGTTCAGCTTTAGTAAATATTGCCCAGTTGTTTCCCAAAGGGGCCCTGACACTTTACTCTTCCATCAGCAATATGAGAGTTTCATATACTCAATGCCCTGCCAACACTTGGAGTTGATGGCTTTTTGTTTGGTTTTGGTTTTCTATTGTTTGTTTTTGATGGCTATTTTAGGACATTAGTCTGCACAGTATCTTATTATATGAATATACCATAATTTACTCTCCTTTTGCTGGGCTTTTGCCCTCTTGCCCCACTGTAGCACAGCCAGAACCTGGACACCTCTAATATCCAGTAGACTCTGGTTTGTTCTATATGTGATCTGACTGTTTGAGGAAGATTTAATACTGTAGGTAACAGAACCGATATATTTGGGTTTTTTTATTAGCAGATTTTCCTCAGATTCCTTCTGTTTTTGAGTAGTATGATACCAATGTAAGAATCCATGTAAAATGGTTTCATTTTGTTGACATGAAAATCAGTTTTGATTTCATGGTGGTACATGGTTGATTTCTTCACTCTTGTTAAAAACTCATGTGAGGGCTTCCCTGGTGGCACAGTGGTTAATAATCCACCTGCCAATGCAGGGGACACGGGTTCGAGCCCTGGTCCAGGAAGATCCTACATGCCACAGAGCAACTAAGCCCCTGCACCACAACTATTGAGCCTGCGCTCTAGAGTCCGGAGCCGCAACTACTGAGGCCTGCACGCCTAGAGCCCGTGCTCTGCAACAAGAGAAGCCACTGCAGTGAGAAGCCCGCGCACCGCAACGCCGCCAAAAATAACCAAGAAGTCATGTGAAAAATAGTATAATGTTTGAAACTAGACTTTTGGTGAAAGCACTGCTAAACATGGCCAATTTAATTATACTGAATAATTTGCGTTCTCTTAGAACAAGCATACGGTGATAGCTGCCAGCACCTGCATCACATAGATCTTCAATCCATTGAAAAACTGCTGTGTGAATGATTTGAGAATATAATCTCTTCGGTTTTGGAAAGACTCTTTGAATTTCACCCTTTGAAAGTGAAAGGTGTTTCCAATCAGAGAACCATGCTTCTCAGCCCAACTTTTCTTTTAACAAAACTGCCCTCCCCCATTTCTGCAAATTTTCTTTTAACGTAGGTTTTTAAAAGTACAGAAGCTAGGGGCTTGCTTTTAATGAGTTAAATGTGATAACCAGACCTCCTGGTTCTTCTTATGTTAGGAGGCGTGATTACTTCATGATAACCACTCTTTCTGTTGTGAGTTACAGCTTTAAACAGGTGCTGGCACAGGTGGTATTCAGTACTATCCAGTTACCATAAGTAATTCCTTGGGAGAGTTTATATACTGTTAACCCTCTATGGTAGCTGAATGGTCTTTTGGAAAGTGCCTTATGGGTGTATAAGACAGTTTTATATTCCTGTTATTCTTTGCTTTTGCCAGTTGTATGTTGAATTATTCATTTTGGAATAGCTATAATGACCAGAAGAAGCATGTTATTCTCATACTCTAGTAAGTTTTAGACATGCTTTTTTACCTTCCACATGGAGGTCTTTCAATTTCTTATTTATTGCTTTCAAGAACTTGTTAGTGATAGCTGAAAACTACTGCTTTGTATTGTATTCAGTGTTTCGTTAAGTCTGTTAGAAGAACATCTTTACCTCTTGAGATTTCTTAAGAGGTCCTATTGTAGCATAACTCTAAAAGTCTTCCAACTGTTAATTATCTATACTAATGAGCCTGAAAATTAATTAACAAATGAGTTAGCCTGAATGAATTAACAAATAATCCAGAAATCTTATTGAAGAGAGTATTTTCAATGACCTCTCCTTTCCCAGCCCCTAAATCTTTTTATCAGTATCAGTAATGAGTAGCAAAATGTGCTGGCTTGATTTTTTTTCTTCCAAATATCTGGTAAAAGTTCTAATGTTCTAAACCAGGATCAGGGTGGAGGTGGTGATGGTGGTTGAAGGAGCACAAACTTAATCAACTTCTGACAACTGTTATTTAGATAGCTCTTCATTTATCTCACGTTCATGAACCTGGTTTGGAGATTAATTTAGAGACCATTTTTAAGTCTTGGTAAATAAAATGCTTTGACCTCTTATAGATCATTTCTGAATATATCCTTGCAGTCAGCTTTTACAAGGAAGCCCAATTTTAAAAGCCTTGCTCAAGTTGCAGCTTCCTTATAGAATTAACAGAGAATAAAGTACCCAATAACCTAGAACCAACAGATCCCTCATTAACTTCCCTGTAATTGCAGTATCCACAGCAGCTGTTTCTGTTTCTCCACAGGTATCAGTCAGAGCCGGATCTCTCACTGGCTGTTGCAGCAGGGATCAGACCTGAGTGAACAGAAGAAAAGAGCGTTTTACCGATGGTATCAGCTTGAAAAGACAAACCCTGGTAAATATTTTTTCCTTTTTTTATTGCATCTGAAATGGGACAAATATAAATTAATTACTTTATTGACTCCATAATTGGATTCCATTCCACTCCATAGTGTTCCTTGGTTTGTCTTCCCCAAGGTAGTTTCATACTTTACTGTTGTTCCTTTATGCCAAAGAACACTCTTAACTGTAAAACCTAAGCCCTAATTGTACCAATTTTTAGCTTAGTGTCTAATATTATCTAGTCATTTTCACTACTTCCTCCAAGGTGCCTCTTTGTTTTCCAGGTTATATGACATTTCTAACCATAATTTGAAAGAAAGGTCATGATTGTCAGTAGCCAGTTTTTTTCCCCTCAACTATAGGTATTGATACATATAAGATTCCATACCTAGTTTTATATGTGTTTTTGTAAATCTTGTTTTAGTTAGTAATATAAATTTAATACTTTTATTTTGTTCATGCTATACCATATCCAGTGATTTCTGCTAATGATTTTCTAATTCTAATTCTGGGTAATGAATGTGTCTTTGGACTTTAGGGTGAAGCTGCCCTGTTGACTTTGGGGGCAGCAGTAGGTTGGAAAATAGACTGAAATCTTAAAAAAGATCACAAAAACCTTTGTGTCAGAAGTTGCCAGGAAGAGGCAAGATCTATTGCAGGATGCTTTTAATGGTGGTATATAAGTAAAATCTGAAGTTTGTGATAGACTCTCTCAGTCTACATATTACACAGACTGGTGGCAGTGAGATCTGTCTCAAGTATAACCTTGTGATTGAACTATCTTCTGTAGTACTACAGCATTAAAGCCTTTGCTTACAGACTAAATTATCAATTCGAATATCGAGTATTGAAGACTCCTAGCTAATAATAGCATTGGCTCTGAGGTGGAAATAATGTTATAGAGACATATTTGTGTGTGTGTATCTGTGGTTAGATTTTTTTTTTTCCCAAAGATCACTTTGAAAGGCTCAGGCAGACAAAACAGAACAGACCATATCAATCTCTTCGCAATGAATTTTTTAATCTACCCAGCCCCCCATTTTTTATATTTCAGATATACAGAAAAATTAAAAGACCAGCACAGCTAACACCTGTTTATCTTCTTCGTAGATACAATAATTGTTAACATTTTGCTATATTTGCTTTATCCCTATAAAATAAATAAATGAATAAATTTTAAAATGTATGTGTGTATACAAACACATACTCTTTCTCTCTCTTTAGCATTCGTCTCCTGAAAAAAGGGTAATTGCCTACATAACCACAGCCCCTACAATCACATCTAAGAAAATTAATTTTAATTCCATAATAACACCTAATATTCAGTCCATATTCACATTTCTTTAGTTGTTGCAAGAATGTCTTTTGTAACTTTTTTTAGAATTATTTTTTAATTGAAGTATAGTTGATTTGCAATATTATGTTAGTTTCAACTGTACTGCAAAGTGATTCAATTATATATATTTTTCCAGATTATTTTCCATTATAGGTTATTACAAGATATTGAATATAGTTCCCTGTACTATACAGTAAATCCTTGTTGCTTATATATTTTATGTATAGTACTTTGTATCTGTTAATCCCGTACTCCTGATTTATCAGCTTTTTTTTTTCATTAAATAGTATGTGATTTAGGTTGACAGATTGGGATTTGTTGTGTCTCTTTAGAGTCTTAAAACTAGTCACTTAAAATTTTTCTTTCATGACATAAACTTTTTAAACCATATAACCTTACAGAATGTCTCACATTCTGGGCTTTTTTATATCCTCTTAGTGTCAACTGACTTGTTCTTCTATAGCCTGTGTATTTCACATACACTGGAAGTTAGGATTAGAGGCTTGATTAGATTCAGGTTAAATAATTTTCGACAAGAGTACTTCATAGATTGTTTAGGGAGGACATTTACTAATGGCTGCAGTTAACTTTGAAACACATCAAGATAAAATGAATAGGGAGATGGATATGTGATAAACTAGGTATAGTAAAATATTAGATGGTATGGGTACAGATTTTCACTATAAAATTCTTTCATTGTTGCTGTATGTTTGAAATTTTTCACAATAAAACATTGGGGCAAAATGCTTTGTAGGTAATGTTTACCTCACGTTAGCACATGTCAAGAGGCATGTAGTGTCAGGTTGTAGCACTACTCATTTGCTAAGTTTGATTGTTAAAGTGGTGGCCACCGGATCCTATTTTTGCAGCTTGTAAATAATCTGTAGGGCATTACTTTGCCGCTGGATGAATAGCCTTTTCTGCAACAAGCTTTGCCAGTGGTCTTAGCGTCCATTGATGATGCTCACCTGAATCAGTTATTCTGATGGGGGATTGCAAAATGGTGATGATGTAATCTAGCATTCCTTCAGTATTTACTAGCTGGCAGTTTTTCTACAAAGAGGAACTTCCATTTTTAGATATTTTTCTAATGATATCTAGATATACAGGCAAACCTCTCAAAATAATGACTCTGTTGTTGCTGCCATTAGTTAAATGTTCTAAAACAGCACAGTTTAGTAGAAATATAATGCAAATGACATATGTAATTTAAATTATCTAGGATTTTTTCCCCTTTTCCTCTTTTTGTGAATGTGTATGTGTATCCTTCTGTGTGAGACCTTGTCTGTATAGCTTTGCTTCCACCATTTGTCCTAGGGTTCTATCCATCCATTGTTTTTTGTTTTTTGGTTTTTCTTAAAAATTAATTTTAATTTTAATAACTCTATTATACTTTACCTTCTTTCTTTCTTTCCCTTTTTTTCCTTTTCTTTCTTTTTCTTTGAAATACAATGTGTATTTTACACTTAAAGCACATGCCATCTGCAATCAGCCATATTTCAAGTGCTCAATAACCACGTGTGGCTAGTGGCTACCATATAGGACAGCACAGTCTAAAGACTCATGTTGAGGCAACACTTCCATCTGAGCTCTAAGCAGTCTTCCCAAAGAGCTGACTTCTCTCGTGACTCACAGCAGAGCAAATCAGATGGAAAGGAACAAAAACTTGGCACTTGGTCTGTTTAATAGAGCAGCTTAGGCTATGATATTGATAACAAGAGTTGGGCTAGGTAAGTAAGGAACTGTGCCCAAGGGCTTCATAAACCTGGTCACATGGCAGCAATTGGCTACCAGGGGGAGTATCAGAGGGATTGTTAAGATGTTCCAAAATATATACAGCAGAGCAATGAAGAATTTGAAAGACAAACACAAGTCCAACTGTGCCAGGTAATCAGCCTCCATAAGAGAAGGAATTTATGTCTCTTGGATTTGGCACTTAGATCAGTGCCTGACATGTAATCTAATCATAGCTGGTAAAGCTAAATTCCCACACTGGATTTCAGGGCTGGGCTTCAATCTCAGACAGGGACTGGGATACCAGGAAAATGAATTCATTACAAGCAGGAAGGCGGACTATCATGTCGGCAATTGTAGCTGATCTGACAGCACTGCCGACTGTGGAATACTACTATTGGAATCCAGTTTTAACAGGAAATTGGGAAAGGGCTAACAGCATTCATCCAGCTGTTAATTAGCAGGTGTTTTTTTCTTTAAGGATATAGTGCCTCCTCCTTTTAACAGTAAGTACCCCTAATTATATGCATTTGCTTTTCTATGAAGTTGCATTACCAACTGTCCCCCTGTAAAAGGACTTTTTATTTTTTATTTGAGAATCAAATCCATTCTAGTTCTGAGTTCTTTCTAGCTTCCTAGTCCAGTTCTTTGTAGTCTAGTTTTCTGTAGGATGTAATTCAAAGTTAGCTGAAAAGAAGGGGATAAGTTTGTAATTGTCAAATTGGTCCTTTTTGTTGCATCAACAGTAATTGGATACTACCAGTTGAAATTTAATTTTTTTAAAGTTTTTCTTTGCACTTTCACCTTTATTAAAAGAGCTAATATGGTATGGAATTTTTTCTAGATAAATGCAGTTTTATTTTATTGAGTTTAAAATAACCCTTGGTTTTAGCTAAAGAATTTATTCTTATTTCATGGACACTTTGGAACTATTATATGATGATAGTTCCAAATTAATATTGTGTGATAAGATGAACTAACATTACATTAGCATCTAAGAATACCTTATCCAGTGTCTAGTCAGTATTCACTTTTATATAATACATCAGAATTTTCTTTGCAAGTCATTGCAAAGGTGATTGGAATCCAACTAAATGTCCCTCAGTCGAGAAGTGGTTAAATAAATTATGGTATATCTGTATAATGGAATACTGTGGAGGCTATATAGCTTTTTTTTTTTTTTTTTTTGCGGTACATGGGGCTCTCACTGTTGTGGCCTCTCCCGTTGCAGACATGATGAAACTTCTACAACAAACATAAGTAAACTCAGATTATGATAGGGCTTTTTGTTTTTTTTTTTTTTTTTTTTTTTTTTTACGGTACATGGGCCGCTCACCGTTGCGGCCCCTCCCGCCGCGGAGCACAGGCTCCGGACGGACGCTCAGGCCCAGCGGCCACGGCCCACGGGCCCAGCCACTCTGCAGTATGCAGGATGCTCCCGTACCGGGGCACGAACCCGCGCCCCCCGCATCGGCAGGCAGACTCCCAACCACTGCACTACCAGGGAAGCCCTGTATAGCTATTTTTTTAAAGGTGGCTTTATATGAATTGAATTTATATGTAGGAATATCAAATTCATCAGTGAATAAAGTAAGGTAGAAAACAATGGATATAGTATATTGCCATTTATGTAGGGGGAATACACACACACACACACACACACACACACATATATGATTATATAAACTTGGAACATCTCTGGAAGGGTATGTTAGGAACTGATAAGAATAGCTCTGTGGCGGGGAACTGAGAGAAGGGGAGGATGGGAGTGGCAGGGACACTGTTAACTATGTAACCTTTTTGTGTCTTTCTAAATTTTATTCCATGCACTTGTGTTGTATATTCCAAAAATACATATAAAGTGTAATGAAAATAAGAGAGGGAGAGAGGCAATAAAAGAAATTAATCTACCTTGTTAATAGCTTTTAAGATATCAAACAACT